TATTAAGCTTCATTCTTTGAATTATTCCCATTCGGCAAATAAGTAAGCAGTCATTCTCTAAGGCGCAGGTGACCATGCTATGTGGTCTATTCACTTTCAAAAATGGACTAATATATTCTGCATGAGCAGCAGCTTGTAGGTGACTTATAAAGGTCAACCTTACATACATCATTACAATATTCCAGCAAGGAGTTTCCCAAACCATTACCAAAATGCAGAGGAAGAAGCATATTACCCCATATTCTTAAGTGTCAGCTATTGCATTCTGTATAGGGATAGTCACTTCATAGCTATTTGTCATGATGGGTCTTGTTGAGCTAAATTAGCCAGGTGCATGCTCTCTTCTGGGGGGGATTTGATTTCAGCCAAGGCAGCACTCTGAAGCTGAGGCAGGTCCTGAAGTTACCTGACAGCTACCACCTCTTCTAGAATTGGTAACTTATCTGGTGGTATAACCCAAACCCTCATCTCCAAGAGTCTAGTCACTATGCCCTTCATAGCCTGGGGCTGTTGGCTATGTCCGTATATGTTCATTTATACCCACAAGTGGGCAAAGGAGCACCTAGAAAACTCTTGCCTGAATTCCACTTATAATCTTCCCTATTCTTATCATGTAAAAGCAGCCCTACCTCCTTCTAATGAAGAAAGGTACCCATCTCTGCCAAGACAGTGATTTGTCTTCTTGGCTTTTAGTCCCTAGATACAGAAAGCCACAAATATCACGGTGGCAGGTATAGCTTACAATCCAATGGTGGCACTTATTGGGTCCCCTGAAGAAAGCTGTCCCCTCTGAGGACATAGAATCCTAGTCATTCAGAACTCAGGGGTGCAGAGATGGGAAGCATAATGTTCCCAGTGAATCACTGGGAATGATGACAACTCCTGCTTCCACCCTTAATTCCCATGGCATATTAGCTTCCTAGGGTTGCTATCACAAATTATCACAAACTAGATGACTTAAAAAAACAGAAAATGTATTCTCTCACAATTCAGAAGGCCAGAAGTTCAATACGAAGGTGTTGGCAGGGTTCATTAATTACATTTAGAGGGTCTGAGGGATATCGGTTCCAGGCTTCTCTTCTCATTTCTGGTGGTTTGGGACAATGCTTAGCATTCTTTGGCTTGAAGCTGAATCACGCTAATCTCTAACTCCACCTTCTCATGGCTTTCTTCCTTGCATGTCTGTGTGTCATCATCTTTGGATATGAGCCCACCCTAACCCAGTATGACTTCATCTTTTCTAGTTACATCTGCAGAGACCCTGCTTCCAAATAAGGTCACATTCTGACATTCCAGAAGAACATGACTTTTGGGGTTACACAATTCAACCTACCACACATGCATTTTCTCTATTAGAAACACATTAAAATACAAATACCTGTGATTCAATGCATATCTGTAACTTGAAGGATGGTGTGAAATTCTTACACAGTATTTCCTATGAACTGCTGCTTCAGTGTGTTTTTAGCGTACCATTGCACCGTATCATTGGGTAGGAAGTTTCTGAGCGGTATGTGATAGCAAATCCCATGGTCACAGGCCTATTGCTGCAACCTCCTTTACTTCAAAGGTGATTCCATGGCCTGACATATATTTTGTGGGATTTCATGCCAGTGAAACAAACATTCCATAAGCCCCCCCAGGTGCCAATGCTGGATGAGGCTGTGCAGGAAGAAAAGGTAAGCCCATTCCAAGAATGTGAATCTATTCCACTGATAATGAACCACTGACCTTTCTGGGGTGGCTGCTCTAATCTGTCTCCCAAAGTGATGATGCTCCATCAAGGGTGCAGCAGTTGCCCCTGCTGCTGACAGGTGACATTTTGCAGTGCTGGTAACTAGATAGGCCTTGATAATTTGGAAACCATTTTGCCTGCCTCTGGGAGTAAATGAGTCTCTAAATGCAGATGGCATAAGTTTCCTCTATAACTCAGAGATCAGCATTGTGATTCTCCTGCTGTGGCTTGCTACAACACACCTTATCCCATCACTAATTTCTCCAATATAATAGCATCTACTCTATGGCCCAGAAAGCAGAGCTGCTTTCACCACAACCTAGACCAGCTGCAGAACTCTTTCCTGCTGGGGGCTCCACTCACAACAGGCAGGCTTTTGCATCAACTGTTATACTGGCTGGAACACTATCCTCAGGTGTGACATATGCTGCCTCCAGGACTCAGGATGGCTCACCAAGCATTGTGCGTCCTTCTTCAGAGTAAAAAAATACACAGTCATTTGCTTTATACTTTAGATAGGATGCATCAAACTGTCCCTCACTGTTGGAACTCTAAAAGTTTTAGGAGTGTGGCAGAGTTTATAAGGTTTAGATTCTCCCTCTGGAACACATCTCCTACCAAGTTCTCAATGTTCTAACCACTGTTCGTCCAGCCTCAATGTAGTCATTATGCAACAGATCTATATTCTTTAGGATAAAGTGGCATCATTTACAAAACTATAAATGTAATTGTTGTCCATTCCATGTGAATGCAAATTGTTTCTGATTCCCTTCTCTGACTGAGAGAAAAGAATGCACTTGCGCAAACCAAGATGATATTCCATGTATTTGGGCCACATGTATCTGCTCTAACAAAGACATCACATCTGGCATAGCAGTTGCAATCAAGGCTATTACTTCGTTGAGCTTGTCTATAGCCATCTTCTAGGATCCGTAAAGTTTCCACAGGGACCAAAATGGTGAATTAACATACATGTGATGAGGTGATCATCTGCATCTTTTAGATCTTTAAGGATGGTACTGCGTCCTGCCAACTGATACTATTGTGTATTACTATCTTGGCTGAAGTGAGGAGAAGACATGAGGGTGGGCAGTTTCAGAGGCTTCCACCTGGCCATCCACACATGCTGTGAAACCACTGTAAGCTTAAACTTTCCCAGGACTCCTTGCATAACCCTACTCCTCCCTCACCCGCTACGAAGAAGCAACAGGGACACCGAGTATCTGAATTATCAATGTCAATTAATTTTTATGTTCAACAATCCTTGAAATCCCTTATATTTCCCCTTTCCTGAGCACAGAATTATCAGGGCAAATGGCTATGGGTCCCTTTGAGGAAACACCAAAGGGCATCATTACCTTGTACAGATGCCAGGGAGTCATAGTCTTTCCACCTCTTCAGTCTGGGCTGCAGGTCTGAAAGTGACTCAGGTCCAGAAACTGAGCAAGGGATGCTATCTTTTTATTGCCCACCATGTAATTCATCCTTAATTTGACCTAATGGGATAAACTGAGTCATATTCTTGTTGGCTACCCATTTGTTTTGTCCCTAAGGTGCTATGTTGTATTAGCCTTCTCCATAACTCTTTGCAGGTTAGGACTCCTTGACTACCACCCTCAACTTCTCATTAGTTGTAACCTGACTTTTGACAGTTGGGCACTGCCACTTTAGCCACTATTTTTCAGAATCTTGTCATACATTGCTATCAGCAAGCTGAACTCTGCTTTCCCTTCCTACTGTTAGATCTGGCCTACTGAGAGCTACCACGGGTTTTTAGAGATGCTTGTACCCCACCATCAGTGAATGTTTCTATGGCCCTGTTAAATATGTGTCCACTGAGCCTTCCCATGGAACATAATCTTCTAACAAATCCTCCAATCCATTCCAGCATACCCAATTCCCTTAACCTTTTAAATCCATTTTTCCACCATGTCACAGTAATCTGTTTCTCAACTTTGTTCAGAAAGGGCCGTTACTGCTTCCATAATTCAAGAAGCCATCCTGGTAACAAGTTGACACCACCTCACAGGCTCCTAGCCAGGGTACTAAGACTCTCCAATTCTCTTACCCTGCAATCCAAACACCCAGTGTGGGAGCTGCCATCAAACTCCTCCCTAATTTTGTTTTTTCCCTCTTAAGCACCGATTCCAATCTCAAGCATATTCCTCCAACTTTTCCTAATTCTTGCAGTTCTTTTTGGGTAAGTCTGTTTCCTCCCACTCCAGTTCCAGCACCTCAACTGAGTTTTGCTTAATTTTATAGTCACTTAACCCTAATTTTAGGCCTGGAGATATTAACTATAATGGCCTGGAGATGGGGCAAGTCTTGAAGGGAGCATGTTTCCTGGGGAAAGAAGCCTCTGCATTGCCATCCAGCCTGAGAATGAAGTGGGGAGTGCTTGCCCATAACATGGAAGGGTAGGCTATGACTGCAAGCTCAGAAAGTTCAGGAGTCTGGGGAGTAAAAATCTCCAGTGCCATTGATTCAGATGTCTCTATCTTATTTGTCAGTGTCACAGATTTTCCCAAGCAGTTTCCTGGCACTGGCATAACGGACTTGCCTTGGCTGGCAACTGTCTTCAGTTTATCCTTTGAAACGATTAAGTCTTGGGCTTACTCCTCAGTTTTTTCAAACTGTCTTACTGCAAAAGATGAAAAGCTTTTTCACTTGCAATCAGAGGCCAACTTTGACACCTGGCTTTCCATTGCCTGTTATTGTCCTTGGCTGTTAATTGTGCTTCTACAGAACAAGAATGGTTTAACAATGGCCATCCAACCCTGTTATCCTCATAGCTACAATTTTCTCCATACATCTTAAATGTCAGCAAATCAGGTAATGTATTTCCTTCCACAACTGCCCAATCCCCATTAACTGCCAGTGTAAGTTGTAACAACTGGAACTTGTGGCAGGACTGTCTATCCTCCACCTATCATCAGTGATGGGGTCTGGGCTGTTTATCTCTAAGTGTATACCACACAATCTCTACTACCTATTTCTACATGAGCAAAAACTAAAGCAGTTTGTAAAAAAGTTAAAATGCTTTCCAAAAGAAACTGAAAATATAGAACAAAAAATTAAATATCAAATTTATATAAATGAAATAATAGATTTATTCAAAGAGAAATAAAGTGTCCTGGGTAAAGCTTTTGTAAAAATACTATCTGAAAAATGGCTAACTAGTCACTTTGTCAATACATTTAAGGCATTAATAACAGGTACCACTGAGGACATACATTGTGAAGAAAGAGAAGAATAGGTCAAATACTAAAACATACATATCATGACAACTCAAGGTGACATGAATATTTAATGAAAATTTAGAATAAACAACATATGACTTTCATTCTGTGGACATAAAAGGAAAAATACAGCAATTCATTTTACTCATTACATTTTACAAAATCAGACGAATGAAGCAGTATTTCTTAATAAAAACAGTAATTTAATTTCAAACAAATATATTACCATCCTATTCCTTTATCCTGGCAAAACATACTAGATTACTGAAATCAGTAATAACGTAATCCATGATACTTCAATTGCTTCAATCAATAAACACCTTACATTTGAAACTCATTTTTCTTATGCCATAAGCCTGATCATCAGTTTCATAAAAATGCTACGCCCTACCCCTTTGCCCATTAAGTATAACTAGACTTCTGCACAAGGCTAAGTGGCTAAGGTACTTTTGAACATCACACACAATTCATCAAGTGCACACACACTCCTGCTCCTCTCACACACAGCCACCAGTGGACAAGCAGCTCCCCTAGTTCTCTTGTTCCTCGTAGTGAGCATAGCCACTAGCATAGGTCCTTCCTAAATTCAAATTAGTAAACAAATCTGATGACTCAGTGTCTGAATCCTTTCTGCCTTCATCTTCTTCCTCTTCATCATCCTCTGCTTCATACTCCTCATCCTCCTCATCGTGGTAGCTGGTATCACCATACTTATCAGATGAAAGGTTCTTCCAATAAGCATCATACCCAGAAGCTCCATCTCCCTCTTCACCTCCAGTCTGCCTGCCAAATTTCAGGGAGCGTGCTACAGAAGACAGATATGTACATGGCATTTTGTTAGTTCCAGTTCTCTGCATTCTCATCGTCCTTTGTAAAATTTCATGAATTTCATTGGCTGCTTTAATTCCAAATGAAAAAAATGGGTCATATTTTCCTAATTTTTTCACCTGAGTCTATATACACACCATAAAAATAAAAGTTACAGTGTTATTTCATTAAATCTAGAAAACAAATTAGACCAGTAGACCGCTCCAAAGGTAAAAAGGCATGTTTAAAACTAAAAAGGCATGTTTTGTTTGGTCACTGACCATTTATTTTCAAATCACATAAATCAGTTGATTTCATATGTCAGGACATTTTTCATAAGACAGCTATTTTACAATGCAGATACACTGATAAACAAAGCCTGCCATTTCTTCTGCCTTAGTAGTGACACAAACTTTAGTGCAGAAGATCAGCAAAATCATCAGTCTCACTTCACTGTGCAACCATATCTATGATTAAACAAAGCGGTCAGAGTCACTTAGAATTATGGTTCCATTCTGACATGTTTGGTTAAGAGTCAAATTTCTCTTTAACAAAATTGGGAGCTGCCTTACCATAAGCATGCTTATAGTACTCTTATTCCTTCACAAAAAAAAAGTTACATAAAAACCACACGATAATTTCCTATAGTAGTGATATATTATATAAATAAACACAGGTGCTCAAATACCACACACCTAAGATAGCTTCAGAATGAATGTGACTTCTAAGATTACCACTTTAATATTAAGGAATTATAGCTACTCAGCTATTTAACAAGGAAGCCTCAACAAAAATTTTAAAAATCACTATCTTAGATTTCAGTATTTGCTGTCATTGACTAAGGCAAATACCAAATATCAAAATGATTATTGGCATATTTAAGTAAAATTGAAAAACTTTACCCACATATTTTCCTGAGCTGTAAAATTCCACTTGCTTAAGAGAACACATTCATCTTTTCAAATAAGAGGCAATAAGAAAAACAGACCAAAAAAAAAAAAAAGAAAAAAAAGATAAACTTTGTCAAAGTATGAAAGCAAAAATCACTTCCTTAGCATCTTAAGAGCCTTACTTGACATGCTAAGGTCCTTAGTCTCCTGAGTTTCATGCCCACATTTAGGGCAAGGAGGCTGTTTTCCTTTTTCTTGCTTAAACACTTTGCTCCTTGTATGATCATCACAGAAACAAGCCTATATAGGAGAAGCAAAATAAAGTCAATAAATAAAAATGTAAAAATATACAAAAACACAGTATTCAGTGTTTTAAAGATATAGTTTTGTTAAGGCAGTGAGATTAAGAATTTTGTCGGGACCAGTCACACTTTTCATTTAATGTTCTTAACAGAAATGATTTTTGTCAGGACTCTTCTAAACAATGATCTAACAAAGGGCAGACTAACTATACTGAGTATGATGTGTAAGTACATTTAGTCATTAATAAATATTTGAGTATTCGTAAGGTCCCAGAAGAAATGAAATAATGGTGAATAGCCTACTTACCCTCACACATTATATGGTCTAACTGGGAATGGAGATAGGGAAAATGCAATTACAAGACACTAAGCACCGAAGGGGAAGTGCAGAGGGAAGGGCACCAAAACAGACATGGGATTTGGGAAAGTGATCTTAGAGACACCAAGTCTTATTCGCCATATGAAGAATGGGAGGGCAATAGGGTAAGCAAAGATGGAAAAGTGTTCCAGGCAGAGAAAACAGCATAGACAATGCCTGAAAGTCATTTGGTGAAACTGAAACAGAGTTGGAAAATAAAAAAGAGAGTTAGGAATATAAGAACTAGAGAAATGCTTCTGAGAGGAAGTGACTTGGCTGCATCTGTTGGGTAATCTTTGATGAACAATGCTAGAGACTAGGCCTAAGGACACAGAACAATATGGAAATCTTTACCCAAACTCTTCTATGTACATTTTGAATTAAAATGGACTCTCATTACCTTGGTCAGAATGTTCTCCATTAAAAACACAAAGCCAGGATTCCAGAGAAATGTGCACTAGTCACAACTCTACTACAAGGTGACTGGATGACCACTGGAAAGTCATGTGAGCTTCCTCAACTTCAATTCCACAATCTCAACAATAAAAGTGTTAAACTATATAATTTTAAGGTCCCTTATAAATTAATTATAGCTATAAATAATCCAAGGACTGGTGGAGGGGTATAGAGATTAAAAACAAAATCTAAAAAGAAAAAAAAATGCATAGGTATACCTTACAACGGAGACATGAGTGCTGACCAAGCCGATTGCATGAAACACCTGTGGGAAATAGATTCATCTTAAAATCCCGTTATTTGGTTCTTAGATTTTTGTTTTGTCTTTTATCAAATCACTAAAAGCTTATAATGAAAGCTTGCCTTATTACTCACAGCTGCCTGCCTTTTGGGTTCAAATGCTATAAAACACACAAAGCTCCCATGCCACAAATAAAATATTCAATTTCTTATTATACATTCTGCAAAAGGCTAAGAAAGGCCTAACAGTGCTATATACTTTGAGATGCTCTTTTAATCTTTGAGAATTTTATGTATAAATACTGCAAGAATTATATACACATGCATACATATATATATTGTGCATATGTGTGTGTGTAGTATGTATGTGTGTGTGTAGTATGTATGTATGTCATAACTTATCAACTTGAAATTTATAAATAAGTATAATAATTAGCATTTCATACCACAACAAAAAACAAATTAAAGGAAGAAAATACCTAGGGAACTTCAGTCTTTTTCCTGTAATAGTAATTTCTATTTAATAAGGGCTATTTAAATGCCAAGTTATACATGCTATTTTATATGGAGTCTTATTTCAATGAACCTTCCATGAAAGAAATTGTCTGTAAAGATGATACTATTATCCCCCTCAGTAATGCCGGCTCTCAACTGGAAAATACATGAGAATTTTGTGTACAGGTTAAATACAGCTGGCCTGGCACCCACCACAGACTTAAAGATAGAATCTCCCGGGATGAGGCCTGGGCATCTATCTATTTTTAAAATCTCCAGAGGTATTTTTGATACACAGTCCTATCTAAGAATCACTGGACCCAACTAGCAGAAACACACAGGGTGGTATCACTTACTGGAGGGCATTTGGAAATGGGAAGGAAAAAGGGTGATGTTTCGTTTTCATAATATTTTGAAGGCAAAAATGGTATGTGGTATTCTGAACCAGAAAAGGTGTAAGTCCTGCAATGCCTAATCAAATCAAGCTAATAAAATGAAGAACTGGCCCAACCAATATGCCATTGTCATTTCTCCTGAAAAATTCAGAACTATATTCTGACTGTTTTGAGTGTTTTCTAGACAGAAAATAAAGATTGAGTTAAATTACCATTCATGAGAAGCTGTTTAAAAAAAAAAAAAAAAAAAAAAAAACTTGATTTCTTTTTAATTAATACTTTTACGAATCTTGGATAAAAAGAACATCTAATATTTAAAAACTTACATTTAAATGTTTCTGCTTCTAAAACCTGGCAGCTGGCTTGATGCTCAAATTGATCATCTTCACAGAGAAAGTTATGGCAAAAAGAACAACTGAATATTCTGCCTCCTATTGGATTAAAAGAAAAAACAACAGAAATGTAAATATGATAAACTTTAATTTAAAAAACTCCTGTCTCTAGAACTGCTTAAAAGAAATGGCAAGTTACCTTGGAGGTACACCAAAATTGTTCAGACATTTTTGTTCTGACAAAACCTAAAATGAAAACTGTTGCAGAAGTCCTTGAAACTGAACCATAAGAAAAAGGAGCTCTTACTATCTACTAGCTACTCACATAATACAACGCTCAAAGAGCCTACCTGCTCCACCACAACTCCCCTCCACATTTGGGTAAACAATACTAGCATTGACAATACAATAACTGATAGCATAGATCCCTTTTCTAACTACACAGATAATCGAAACAGTACCTGTAGTTCGGATTGACAGTATCTTGAAAAAGATCTCAAAAACAGCATTCAAAATATTTCAAAGTCAACCTTCACTTATAACAAAGCTCATCAGTTTGTCTAATGACTCACCATGGTCCCACACGCCTCGCTCACATTCAACACACTCAGCATCAGTAAGAGGGCAGGCACAGGCATGTGTACTGAGACATTTTCTACCATGGCAAACCCAAGCTTCACAGAAGTCACATATTGCACCCTGTAATCAAGGAACAAGAAAATATAATCACTGTCACCCGACCACCTGTTTAACCATGGCAACCATCAAAATTGCATACATTTAGCAATTTATCAACCCTCAATGATAGTAGAGAGCTTCATTTAAACATTTTACTACTCAGAAGCCAAAATTAAAAAGGGTTCTCTGAAAAACAACTTCTTAACAGCTATCCACAATACACAAAACTCAGTTACAGAGCAAAAGAGAAAAAGGTAAACTATACACTTACCCTAGTATCAATTAAGTCAAAGAGTTGGAAGTGTTTTCTTCAAAATGAATTCTAATTCAAATGAAGTTTAGAGAAGCCAACAGTTTAAGCTTTCTTGTCTATAGTAATTTCTGTAACTAAATTGAATTTTTAACTACCATTTCTGATTTTTAAAAATACCTTCTTATCTATATACTTATAAAATAATTGCATAGCTTTTCTAGAATTACTGAGAAAAGTACTGAGAAATAACTACAGATTGATTGAAACTTCTGTCAGCTTCTTTTTTTCTGTTATGGCAACTTATGCTGTAATCATAATTACATTCTTTGTGGAAAAAATTTAAAGTGAAATCTATGGAACTAAAATACGAGTTATGATTCTCCAATTCTATACCCAAAAAACATAGACAAATAGAATCAATGTTATCTACCAAATACTAAAAGCTAGAAAGAATCTTAAGAGAGCAGAACCAGACAATCTTTCCTTTATAAAGGAAAAGCATGCGGCCCAAGACTAAATCCAAGTCCCAGAGTTGGATTACAGGTGAGGTGAGATTTAAAGCCAGGTTTTCAGAATTCTATTATTCAAGGCTCTGCAACAAATGTAGTAAACAACAAATAGGAAGAATGTTTTTTGACTTGCAAAACTGGGTTATCAGTATAGCTAGCAAATCATCAGCTATATCTCTTAGATCAGCCAAGGTTCTTGCAAAAAAAGTGATGGTACTCTCAAACTAGGTAATCTAGAAGAGGTTTTTGTTTGTTTGTTTGTTAGTTTGTTTGTTTTGGAGGTGCTTGGAGTTTTGCTCGTTGCCCAGGCTGGAGTGCAACTCCGTCTCTTGGGTTCAAGTGTTTCTCCTGCCTCAGCCTCACGAGCAGCTGGGATTACAAGGCATGCGCCACCATGCCTGGCTAATTTTGTTTTATTGTTTTGTTTTGTTTAGCAGAGATGAGGTTTCTCCATGTTGGTCAGGCTGGTCTCAAACTCCCAACCTCAGATGATCCACCCCACCTCAGCCTCCCAAAGTGCTGGGATTATAGGTATGTGCCACCATGCCCGGTGCTCTAGAAGAGTTTTAATACAGATAATTTACAGAGCTCAGGGAAGAGCTTAGGACAAACAGGAGAGGGCTACCTGGCCATATAGAGAAGAACTGTGGTCCTTAGAGAAAGGACAAAACCAAACCAGGATAACCTGGCAGGGAGTGAGATGAAGGAATAAACACCCAGATCTTATTATCCTGCTGTTATCAGGGGGAATCTGGGGAGACAAATAGAAGATATTCAGAAAATAACTTTTCTGAAATTTACAGCTAATGATATATGATTCTACTTAAATGTTTTCTTTATGTAAGAAGAAATTATTCACATTCAAAAAACACAGCGAATTTTAAAAAACGAATTTGACTGAACTTAGATAAACAAGCTACCAAGGAAGACTGAAAGAGTTTTTGAATAAACATAACACTGACAATCTTATATTTAAAATAAAGAGGAATTCATAGGATGATAATTCTCGGTCCTTGCTTCTATAACATATGCACATATGAAATATATCATAGGTCTGCCTCATAATAGAAGTTTACATGTTCTGGGAAATTTAGCATAAATAAAACATTCCATTTGACATAAACATAGTATCACTTTCCTCATGGACTGAAATTTAAACAAAATTTTATTTAAACATAAAATCTCAACAACAATACAGTAAAACCAGTTAACTCATTTTTTTTTTTTTGAGACAAAAGTCTCACTCTGTCGTCAGGTGCCAGGCTGGAGTGCAGTGGCATGATCTCCGCTCACTGCAACCTCTGCCTCCCAGGTTCAAGCAATTCTCCTGCCTCAGCCTCCCAAGTAGCTGGGATTACAGGTGCATGCCACCATGCCCAGTTAATTTTTGTATTTTTAGTAGAGACAGGGTTTCACCATGTTGGCCAGGATGGTCTCAATCTCTTGACTTTGTGATTCGCCTGCCTCGGCCTCCCAAAGCGCTGAGATTACAGGCATGAGCCACCGCGCCCAACACTGGTTAACTCATATTTAAAAGGAAAACATGTTTTAGGAAAAAGAGCAAAATACATCATGTAATCCCATTTTTTTATTATTCAAAAGCTGAATTTACTTAAATCCTATATATAATGAAGAGGTATGTTAAATGTATACACTTTTTTGAAATGTAAAGTTTTAAAGAACACTATTATATCCTAGGTTCCTTTGGAACGAAGTTGCTTATTTCACCAAAGGCTTAATTAAACATGGTTAAGCGGGCCTTTCAGTACACTAAATACTGTTTTGTGAAGTCTGGTTAAGCGATATTAGAAAGGTATCACTGAGAAATGAATTTCTGTTTAGATAGGCGTGAAAACTTTCCATACCTTGTATGTTTCCCAATAAGAAAGCAGCAGCTAGAAACAAGTGGGCACTAAGGAAAAATCATACAAAAAGCATGCCACTGATAATCCAGGTAACTACAGATTGATTGAAACAAGGGACAAAGCACTGACTTTAGGAAAAAAAAAAACAAACCATTGATCAGAAAGACTTTATCTTATCCTTGAAAATGTACTAGTCTAAAAGATAATGACAAGAAGCTTACCACCATTGCAAGGCCAGTACTATATACACCAGCATGCTTTATAACACAGTCTGAAGACTTCATCATGCACTTTGTTTTCCCTAATAAAGAAAAACATTTGCACTGTTAGTCTTGCAAAGGAATACATACCAGTATTCACTGATTCCTCTTTTTATCTAGCCCAAGTTCCTGAGGAAATAATTTTTTTAAAAATGAAATTGAATCAGTATTTACTGTTTACATAACTAAAAAGAGAAAATAGATATAATTGAGACTTCATTAGTTGAATCAGACTTTTCAGATTACAAATTACTAACGAATCTATAAAATGAACTATACGGTAATGTATATGCTAATTTAAGTTTGTACTAAATCAGAAATTGCAAATTATGCTTTATAATCTAATGATCATTTTATAGTTTAAAAGCTTATGAATCTTCAGATTATTCAAACCATTTTTTAAAGGAACGCTTTTTATAATGAATTTTACATTTTATAATTCACAATAAAAACTGTGGTTTCAAGTTACCATTTCTCTTTCCACAGAACACCTCAAACCAAACCAAACCAAATAACGATTATGTAACTTATCAAGTTAATGTAATTTTATCCAAACATAAAGATTTACAAACATAGCCCCCAGTTAAACATTTTTCCAACAAAATTTTGAAATAGTGCCCAAATAAGCATAATAAACAAGAATACAATGATACAGCTACAAATCACAACAGCCACTAAACCTCTGATCTAGCAGCAAATTAAATTACCAACCCAAAACACTAACAGGAAATGTGCTTATCAGATACTATGTGAGAATTAACAATGTCATTAATCATCCATCTGAGACTCCATAAAATGGAACACAAAAGAAACAATTTTCCATTATCTTGATTTCCTAAGGAACAAAGTTAAACAATAGGAAACGAAATGAGAGGCAGTGACTACCCAGCTGTTCCATGTCTAACACTGAGAGTAAGAATCAGTACATGAGAAATGCATCCATCTAACAGCACTACAAAATTTAAGCCCAAAGACACTGAAAATATGGGTAATTCCTAGCAAAAACTTACCATTTAAACTTCCACAAAATCTATTTTCTCACTCTATGTTCATTACCTTTTGAAAATAAGGCTATAAAAACTGCCATATGAGTATTCCATATAAGCCAGTTTTCTCTTTTTCATTAATTGTAGAATTGAAAAAACATCTTTTTTGAATGCTAGAACTATACTAGAAATATTAAGGGATGTAGCCCTAAACACTACTAACTTTCTGGAATATTATTATATATAAACATATCTAAATGAGCAGATCCCAAATTGTTCCACCTGAATCTATTATTATCTCATAAAAGCAGTATTTATTCATCAAAAGTTGGGGGAAGGTGTAAATCTAGAGTAATAAAGTTCATGGGGTTTCTTTACTGCAGGCCTTCAGAACTTACAACATACAAATAAATAATAGAAATGTCCCAGATGAGAATGACAGGAGGATGCATGCAGTATTTCTCAAATGTATATGCATATATATTTTTCAAGAAATATCTGTTAATATTTCTTTCTTTTTTTTTTTTTTGAGACAGAGTTTCATTCTTTTTCCAGGTTCCGGCTGGAGTGCAATGGCGCGATCTCGGCTCACTGCAACCTCCGCCTCCTGGGTTCAGGCAATTCTCCTGCCTCAGCCTCCCGAGTAGCTGGGACTACAGGCACGTGCCACCATGCCCAGCTAATTTTTGTATTTTTAGTAGAGACGGGGTTTCACCATGTTGACCAGGATGGTCTCGATCGGCTCTGCTAATATTTCAAGCAGTCCATGGAAGACTATTTGGGAAACACCCATCTTGCTGACATTTAGTTTTATTTTAAATAATCATTTCAGGGTACAAGTCTCCACCTATACTTAAAAATTGGGTACATGACGTAGGAACTCTATTTCAATCACTTGGGAATACACGTGAGGAAACTCATGAATCATACTGTAAGCATCAAACACAAAAACTACTGATCACAAAATATGTACCAGGTAAATGTGGAATAAAATTATTCCCAATGGTCTAACACACTGCAGGTAATATCAGCAGGAATCAAAATGTAGATAAGTAAACAAATAGACACTGACAAGATTAAGATAGTATAACTAAAAGTTCAAGATCATCAAATGTTATATCTGAAATCTGATTTTGTATTGTTGAAAAAAATTTATTGGTAACCTGTATCTAAATTGTACCTTAATTATTTTCCATCATTACATCAAAGAGACAAAAATCAAGACTTGATAGGTTTTTGGTAGGCAAAATAACATGTTTTGCTATTTTGTTAATGGTAGGGTATAACATTATAAACAATTTAAGCACTGTAACCAACAGCAACAAACCCACACAAGTTCAAACTGATGAACTATCAGCTGATAAAAAGATAAAAAGTATACGTCCTTAGTTATTATATACTTACCACACTGTGCACAAATTGGTAACTTCTGTACAGAATTACAAAAGTAGCAAAATGCTCTATTCTTCTGCCGTCTTGTCATGTAAAGTAAAATTTTAAAATATGGTCAATGTCAGATAAAAGGTCAGAGGGGACAATTTTATTAAAGGTAGATAGAAAAAGAAATAAAATTTACCTCTGACACTTGTCACATTCCTGTAACATATAAAAAGATCACATTAATTTTTGTGTTGACTGAAAACTGCAAATTTACTTGCATTACAAAGAATAACCTATTTTTCATGTGAAAATTTAAGTGACACTACACCAAAGCCTCCAACTCCACCCACGTATACAGGCATCTACCCACGCTTAAGTAAAAAAGGTATGCAAGAGAGATACTCCAGGTATATAACTACAGAGGAAGAAATGGCATTACTATGAAAGAGGCTAAATACATTGTTAGTCTGTTTTTCAATTGTTTGCAAGGAATAAAATACCACGGAATGAACACAAGAAACAGGAGAGAACACAAAATAATAAAGTTCAGGGAAAATCCAGATTTCTAAACATGGTTTTAAAAGCTCTCCACAGCTGGCCCCTAACCACTTTCCAAACCTTGCTAGCCTGTTCTTTTCAGGCGCAAATCATTAATGGTCAGTTATTCCCCAAATACGTCTTATACTCTTTCTTCTCCATGTGTTTACTTATTCAAATACTTTTCCCTAAAAAGTTTCTACTACCTGTTGAAAGTTCTGGTGAAATCTCACCTCTTCTGTGAACTGCACCCCTTCCACATAGTCAACTTTATCTCCTCTTAGTTCTAATAAATATATTGTACCTTTATTAAAGGACTTCCAAAATCTAGCTGTCATTACATATTTAGGCATGCCAGTCATTTATTGTTCTGTCTGCCAGCACTTCTCTTCTCTGGAAAGGACTTGTAACACAGAAGAGAGCCACACTGTCACATATGTGCTATGTAATCTGGCCTCTCCCAAACAACCCCAATAAATGTTAGTCCTGGGACAGGCACTGGGTCAAGCCCAGCCTTTCAGAGTTCTTTCCTTCTCTGAGGAACAATATGTGATGTAAGACATGCAGGCTACCTATAACTATGAAATCAAACAAATGGAGTAATATGAAAAAATTGAACTAATAGGGAAGAAGAAACAAAAGCAAAAGATAGAACTACAAGTTGTTCCAGGTTCCAATTGTCCCTGAGTTCCAGGTATATCCTTCCTCTTCCCAGCAATATGAGTTCTTCCATTATCCATTCAACAAGCTATTTTTCCCTAAGGTAATTTAAGTTAGATTTCTGTCATTTAGAAACAAACAAATCCTAAGTAATATACAACATAACTGAGTGATACACTTCTGAAAATAGGGACCATGTAATTCATTTATGTATCACCACGCACAGAGTCTAAAATAACCTGACACAGAGTAGATGCACAATAAACATTTGCTAAATTAAGCTACATTAAACAATTCATACATGTTTGACAAAACAAAAGGAGGGGGAAAAAAGGAACAGTGGGAAAAGAAAAACAAAGAGGGGAGTGAAAATAGGGAGAACTAGGGTAACTCAGAGAAAGAGTCAATGAAAGGCAAGCGGTAACAATGACATAATTGTTAGTTTTTTCACATATTTTACCATTCAAAGCAGCCCAGAGGTTATCACAACTAATCCAGTTAGCACAAGCAGATAAGGTAATAGAACAGGAAGCGAACAGATGTTAAGTAGGAAGTTGAAAGAAGAGAAATGAAAGAATTGCTAAGAAAATATGATGAACACTCAACTAAGACAAATTAAGGCATCAAAGAACCTGGAAAATGTAACAGTTTCTATTATCTATTCTTGTCCAATATCTACCTTTATCACCAACAGTATGTGAAGTAATATGCTAGGTTTTATAAATAATATAAAATCTAACAAGAATCACTGCTACTCAGTGAAATCAATGGACGTGCCAGAGATTTCAAATTCAGTAACAAAATAAATGCAAAAACACTATTCACTAAAATTTTATTCAGGCGTACTTCAGATAATATAGTATATGGTTTTTTCCGCTATCAACTGATATCAAAAGGAGCTGTTACCATCGAAGCATTACATGGATGTTTAGCTAAATCTATAGTGCTTCTTGATGCTCTTAGTTGTTTTTCACGTTCTCGGCGGTTCTCAGCCTTCTTCCTCGCACCAGTCTTTTTTTTAGGCATTTTCCCCTATTTTGACACAAGAGAACAGAAAAGATATAATTGACTGACTGCATTTACTATTTTAATAAATTAAAAAACAGTATAACAAAGTATTTTTATTCTTGTTAAATGTTAAACTCTATCATTTTGTTAACCACATTCTAAGCCTCATGAAACGTTAAGCACTTATTCCAAATGAAGCGGACAACACTTAAAACAAGGCATTTATTTGCACTAACAATTCTAAAAACGTAAACGTCAAAAAAATTTACCCTAAAAGACAAACTAGTTTTCTTTTCCCGCTAAGCAAAAAGTTTCTCCAATGATAAAGTATTCTGCACTTCATTAAAACAAATAAATAATGTATCAATAACAAAGAAAATCATTAAAAAGATCATTATTTACCCAGTTTATATCACTTGAGCTGACGCTGACCATCATTCAGATAACCTGACGCTGCCAACACCTGAAGTATAACAAGTCTAATTTTTTCTATGTAATATGTAAACAAAACATCTAACAGTCAACAAATAACACTATTAATTACAAAGTCAAAACATTCTTAAGATATTCAAGGTATTATTGCTTTGACTCTGACAAATGTTCTTCCTTCTCTCTACATGGAGTGAGCATGTAATTTTAATGGGGTTCAAATTTACGTTTAAGAGTATGTTTAACTTTCATCATTTAGTTGAAATACAAGATTTTTCTAAACTGAAGTTTTCTGAACTGAATGCTCAATCAAAAAACCAGGTGGTAAGCAGTAAGGTAGCAACTCAAAAAAAATAGCCAGGAGATTTAATAGGTGGTTACTTCGGTAACGTAACGCCCAAACCACTAAGTCGGCGTTCCAATATGCAAAATGACAAAATCCAGAGGGCGTGCTGCCCTGGCCAAAGAACCTCAGAAAATAATCAGGAGGCGATCATGCGGATGAACTTTCTCCGTCCTCCAGGGATGTCCTTTGAATCCTCTGATAAAGTTAAATCTCTGTTTGTTTGTTTGTTTTTCCTCCAGTTTATTCTACACGCTCAAAAGAATGATTCTTCTCAGCCTTATATTGGGTTCCAGCCCTTTTCCGGTAATACTTCAACTTCTTGCGGACACTGCGCGTGTCATCAAGTGAGGAAACAGGCACGGGGCACTGCGGCTCTAGGAGTCCAGCCTGGAGCTGAAGGACCCAGTGGGACCAAGGGGCGTCCAGGGGAGCCGCGGCGGCGAAGGCGCCACGCGGCTCGGGGACCCGCAACCGTCACCCTCCCGTGGAACACCCTACCTCGAGCGTGCTCCGGGCCGACCTCGCTCAGTTGGGCGGGGAGGCCGAACTCACTCAGGGGGCCGAGGGACAGGCAATGGCGTGAGGCCCGCTCGCGACAGCAGTAAATCCAACTCGTGGACCACGACTCCGGGAAAGAAGCTACTAAGACCAAGAGAGGCTGACAGCCAGTTTCGGGCACTAGGAGACTGACCGGACGTCCTTTTACGACAGTAGCGTCCTTACGGCGGACGTCACAGGAAAGGGCCCGCCCACTTTTTTCGCTCCGCCCCTGTCCCGCCCACTCCTGCGGGGGCCGGTGCCCCCCTATGCCTGGGAACAAGATCTGCAAGAAAAGGAAGGGAATGCGAAGGAAAATAGGGAAGGACCCCTCAGTTTTACTTTTTTAGAAAAAGGAGAAATCTAAAAGGAAGAGGACAATGAACTCCCAGACTTGGTACTGAATCAATTGACTCAAACGGCAAATTCATGCTTCCTTCTGTTGGAAACCTTTCCTCCCCTAAATCTTCTGGCTTCACATCCCACCTTTTCTTGGTTGCTGCGCAAGCTGTGCCTTCCATTGCCTGATGAACTTTCGTACTAGCCTCCTCTGTCTCTTATTTCTGCTATGCCCTCTGGATTCCATTCCTTTGTGAACAAATCATCCCACATTCTTTGCCTCTACTGTGTGCTCTGCCTGTTTTTAATTGAAACGTGATGATCCTTCCCCGGCATCAGAATCTCCTTCTGATCCAACACCTTGACCTTTGTGTAGCCGACCGAGCTGGGTTTCCTGCTTAATCTCTTTGAGCTCTGCCACATTTAGGATTCAGTACTGGGCCTTTTCCTCAGCTTTTTCTGCTGCCCCACTGCAGGAGATAAAAGCTTCTTTATTTGCTACCAAAGAGGGCTTCTGGAATTTACTATTAGACCCACTCTCAGCTTTTTGCTGTTTTCAAAGAACCAATTTTACTTAGCAATAACAGTCAATGCCACTGTCCTTAAGGTTACTGTTTCCTTCATAGTTCTCACACGCCTGATGCATTTTACCCACTAGTATCTAACCTTATATTAACCACTATACTTACGTTAGAATACCACTCAAGTTCATTACTGATGAAAGTTTTAACTACTGCACTGTTACCTTGTGCCAAGGTCTGTATGTTCTACACCTACCACTGAGGGTGGGAGGGGAGGGTCCTCATTGATAGTTACGTGGCCTGTGATTCAAATTATAAATTATAATTCCCATCTTTGACCACTCGTGACACCAACTGTCTTAGGTTGGCTTCCCCAGGAAACATACTCTAAGTCAGAGAAGAGTATTGTGAGTATGTTAGGGAATGCTTTGGGGAACATCTGCAGAAGAATGGAAGCACGATGATTGAATAGAGGGAAGGTGAATAGACCTGTGGTGAAGTCTCAGTGAAGGCCTCGTCTTTGAATCTGGGATATCCCTTCAGCGTTGTCTTGAGTTAGGTATTGTGGGCTGGGCCGTTATACACCCATGATATTTAGTCCTGGATGGCACTGCCAAAGGGGAAGAGTGCTACCTTGGGTTAGAGGACTCCTGAAGAGGGCCAAGAGCTGAATTGTGTTGGCTTGCTGTACTCTCAGCAGCTCGGGAAATAAGTCTTTCATTGAGAAAGAGAGATCTGGGTAGTGCCTGCCAGTATTCACTACTAAGAATGATGGCAAAATAAATATTCTTTCAAAGACAAAGAAGCTTTGCTGTTCACAGATATTCAGTGAAAAAATTCCAAAGGGTAGCCTTCACAAGATGAAAACAGAATTTAAAAGGCAGAAGGGGATACAAAAAGTCATAGTAATCCATTTATTTAATAAATAGGATAAATCTAAAACATTGTCTATTTAAAACAACATAATTATAATAAGCAATTTGGGATACAAAAATTACAAGCAACTGAAATATTCTGTGAATTCAATGCAATTCAAATCAAATCTTAATATAGATTTTTTAATGGATTTGATTAATTGCTCTCTAAAATTTATAGGAACAATTAAAGATCCATGAAAAGCCCAAACCATTTTAGTTATACAAGCAGAAGGATACTATTATTTATTATAAAGATTTAGTAATTAAAACAATATTGCATAGTGTCAGGTGTTAGCAAATAGACAAATATAACTGAATAGAAAGCCTAGATACAGACTCACATACATTTGGGTAAATGGTACTGGTTGCATTAGCATCAGTAAGAAGACAGGCATTAGTCAATAAATGAGGCAAAGACTTTTGGCGATCCATATGGAGAAAGATAAAATTAGATCTCTATTAACAGCACATATAAAATAAGTTCCAGATGGAAAGACCTAAATATACAAAAAAANAAAAAAAAAAAAAAAAAAAGAAAGCCATTATAAGAAAATATAGGAGAATGCCTTTATGATAAAATGATTTCATAAGACACACACAAAAAAGAACCCAAAAAAATTTATTGAACAATGAATTTAATAAAACTTCGGGATGATCCCAGCACTTTGGGAGGCCGAGGCAGGCAGATCATAAGGTCAAGAGATCAAGACCATCCTGGCCAACATGGTGAAACCCCGGGTCTACTAAAAATACAAAAATTAGATGGGCGTGATGGTGGGCACCTTTAGTCCCAGCTACTCGGGAGGCTGAGGCAGGAGTATTGCTTGAACCCGGGAGCCGGAGACTGCAGTGAGCCGAGATCACACCACTGCACTCCAGCCTGATGATGGAGCAAGACTCTGTCTCAAAAAAAAAAAAAAAAGTTTAGGATGACTAAAGACATTAAAAATTAAGTAAAAATGTAACTGACAAAAGATTTATATACAGAATAAATGACACCCATAAGGTTGTCCATGCTGTAAAAGCCTGGAAGATCAAAATATTGATGAAAGGTGGAAAAACAAATTTTAAGCAATTCTACTGGAAGTATAAATGATAAATCTGTTTTGAAGAACCACATGGCAATGTTAAGCAAACGTAAATATGTGCAAAACCAAAGATTCAGCCATTGCACTTCTAGGTCTCTACCATAAGAAACTTGTGCACAAATATACAATGATACAATAGCACAGTTTAACAGCCAAAAAATTTTAAGCAACTGTTATTAGGAAAAGGAATAAATTGCATGTTATCTACACAGCAATTAAAATTCATAGACTTTACAAGTATCAATATGGACTAATTCTTAAATTTGGGGGAGATATTGGTGAAAAAAAAATCAAATTGGAATGCCATATATGTAAAATTGTAAAGCAAAAGTCAATTGTATACATTATTTACAGATATATATATATATACAAACCTTTTAAAAGTAACAAAAGATGCCTGGAAATGATATTAACTTCAGATTATGGTTACCTCTGGAGAGGGAAGAAAGATGGATGATGTGGAGTGTTAGCCATACTTTTAGTTTTCAGAGCAATGCTAATTTTAAAACATATGTATCAATAATCCTCAACATCCACCAGAATGGCTAAGATTAAAAGACTGGCAATACTAGTGAGCATGTGTTTACTGGTCACTGGTATTGTTTATCGTTTATTCAAGAAGAGTAGGAAGCTGGGTTGGAGACACTTGCAGGAAGACTGTGGAGTAACTGGAACTGTCATCCAGTATTGGGGGATGTAAATGGACTGCCACTTTGAAAATTATTTAGCAGCATGTGTTAAAGGATATACATATATCTCCAAAATGCATACCTGTATTTACTAAAATATATGTAAAATAGGCCAGGCATGGTGACTCATGCCTGTAATCCCAGCACTTTGGGAGGCC